CGTGCTGAAGAAGGAGCTTGGGCTGAGCCTCCTTCCTGCCAGCAAAGCATTTCAATCACAGAGATATGTATGCAAAAGTGTGTTTCCTTCAGTCATCCTGTTTGGAGCTCTCCTCACATTGCTTAAGAAATTAAGGATGCATCTGTACAGAAAGAGAGGAAATATGACTCTGTAGCCTGGTAATGAGGGCATTCATCAGAGATGTGGATGAGTTAGGTCAAGTCCTCACTTCAATGGGTATTTAATTATTCTCCTTAGCATCATCACTCAGTGAGATCAGGATTCCCCCTCCCTACCCTGTGCCCCCCATCTTGGCACATGGTGAGGGAGGCTTCAAGTCCTCGCTCCAGCTCTGGATGGGTAAGGATTCAAAATTGAGTCTCCTCCTGAATACTCTAAGTACTGAGCTCTTTAGTTTTAAACAGTGACAACATGCATCTTGCATTTTTTAATGAGGAATGAATTACCTAATTGAAATGTTTAACTTGCATGTATAGCTGGCAATCATTAGTTAAACAATGATCTTAGCTGTCTTTTGGGAATTATATTGAGGATCTGCTCCATCTAACATTTTTTCTAGCTAATATGGGCTCGTGTTTCTGGCTTTTTAATTATTTAGTCCCTGAACCAGGACTGGAGAACCATTTAGGCTGTGAGAATTACAAATCACAAGATTACAATATCCAGATCCCACTGGGAATGTAGCTCTGTCCTTTGAATGATCAATCCCATTGCATTTACTCTACTAAAATTATTCATGTATGACTACTTGCTTTACTTAGTTTTGCTTCCTACTTCCTTTTTGGGTTGAATGCGTTTTTAGAAGAAGGTATACTGAAATATTCAGACAAGCAACAAATCTTTCATTAAGGATAACCTGGGAAGTAAAAATGAGCAGGTCTCTCTACATGTAAGAGCTTGTCTCCTGGGACTCAAAGTCATCTGAGGTACCAAATAAAGCATACTAGGGACAAACAGAAGCATAATGCAGATTTCTCATCTTGTTTGCAAATACATTTTCTTGACATTTGACATCTGAATTACATAAGGAAAAAGGGAATGCAAGAAAGGGAGATTCTTCATCCATCAACAGCTGATGTGCTGTCCCACTCCAGAAGGCAGTGAAGAATTGTGTCCCATAATAACCATTAGGCAGTATAAAAGCAGAGCTCCTGTCCTGCTTATTCTCCCTTAACTAACGCACTTGTCTGAGGTTTTTAACTGCTTGCACTATATTTGGCCTGTTTGGCCGCAATCAAGTACACACATGCTGTCATCAGAAATGGTCCCTGTTGCAAATTATTCCTGGTCTGTAAGATGCTATTTTTGAAAATTATGCCTTCAAATGGAGAAAATTAAGAGTGTAAATGAAGGAATGTATTCCAGTCCCATAGTCTCACACATGAAGAGTTTGAAGGAAAGAGAGAAGGCCCAAGGATCTTCGAAGCAGATCTCAGTTTCATACAGTATACGTATGACTGATAGGGGTGGCATAAATTGTTCACACTCAAACCACTTCTGTGACTAACGGTCTCTGATTTCTGTCTTTATCTTTCTGTCTTTTTATCTTTACCAAACCCTAGTTATTAGATAATTATATAACTATAAATTTAAAAATACATATGAGAAATATTTCACACAATCAGTTGTTCTGATACACACAGAAACTGAAGGGTCTTTCATAAAAATAGTAAAAAAATGACAGTGACAAGTTTTCATATATTTCAGGATATCTGAAAAAGATTTGTGCATATGAAAGTGTGTTTTTTTCCAAGTATCTCTGTAAGTCTAATAAATATTGTTGTTACCTCTCTTCAGACAATCAGTTATGAAAGCTCTACTGCTACAAGTTATAATTAATAAACCTGCATGACAAACTCATGTTTACATAAAATGCTATCTATTAATAAGCAATACAGAAAACTTACAGGAATTCATTATATCAGCAAAAAATAAAATTCTGACATAGTCATGTTCTCATAAGAGAAGGAACCAATCTACTGGAAAGCATCAAACAGCTTGCAAAATCTCAGGATACAGGAGCAAGTCTGCAGATACTACATCACTCAGAAGAATTTTATGACCATGTAACTTGGTCTCATAAAACCACCAGTGGATGCTTTTAATAGTCATCAATTTATATGGCCTTCTGCTATGTGGGGATCAGGGAGAAAGAAGACAGGGCAGGAAAACAAACTAAAAGCAACTATAAAGTATAGGAAAAAATGCTATCTGAGCAAAGAAAAAGAAAAGAAGAAGAAAAAAAATAAAACTTTGACAATTTACTTACTGTATAAGAAGGCACCTGAGACTGTCTTCAGAAAGTCTTCTACAGAAAAAGACTGGGAAAAAGTGCATTTCAGAGTCATCAACTAGCAGATATCGAATACACTGTGATAATAACATCACACGTTGAAAATCCAGATTGTTAAAAACTCAGATTGTGTAAAGAAAAGAGGAAAACTTCTAGATTTTTTCCCAGCTTTGCCTCTACACAGAATCCGCTCTATTTAAGAGCCGTTTTATTGAGGCCGTGGGAAAGGAAATGAACAATTCTCCCCTGGTCTTAAAGATTTTTGTGGTAGAAACTTTTTTCTATTGAAAAAAAAAACCCCAACAACAAAAAACCAAACAACAAACTAACTTGTTGACCCTTTATTCAGCACAGATACCTGAAATTATGTTGCAAATAGCAATACATCAACAATTTTTATGAACTGATATTTCTATCTCCCAGTAAACATGAAAATTTATTACAAGAATTAGTTACAGAGTGGTCATCTTCATTAAGTTTGAAAGTTTATACTGGCAGGGAAATGCACTGTGAATATATTTCCCCCCTCTCAGAAGCACATGTTCTCAGTCTCACACAATAAATAACCTAGCTTTTGGAAAAACAGCAAGAAAAATAGCAGAAAATTTTTAAAGTATTTTTCTTTGACATTACAAAAATACATTGAGCATTATTGCTGTAGCTTTTTTTTGAGGTAGGATGTAGGGTAGCCTGACATGTATTACCTTTTTAACAGTGAAGAAGATATGAATTATTTGCATCAATTCATTATTCCAGAATTCAGCACAGATGCACTTGGGTCCCTATGGCAGATTTCACATGGCTTCAGTGCCACGGGAAACACTTTTATTCTTTGCAGCTAGAATTCCAGCCCTAAAAGGCCATTAATATTATGATGTTCTTGCATTTAATTTTCTTGGTTTTCAAAAGTACAAAAAACAGTACTGGAAAATAAAGAAGATCTGTATAATTCTGATGTGAATGTTTCTGGATATGAGATCCAAGTAAATTATTTGAATGCATGTACTTGAGTTTTCTTATATGTAGGTGTGACCATGCATTCAAATAAACATGCAGTTCTTTGAATGTGTAATCACTGGAAAAATAGCACAGCTGCATTTACTTCAGTGTCTGAAGCTCCTGATCTTTTGCAGATATGGAAAGCTTTACATCATGGTGTGTCAAATATTTAGCATTTGATTCTGTAAGTGCTCTCTGTTTGGAAATCTGACGGTTTTCAGTGAAAGCCCTGATGCAATATGACAAACTCTGCAAGATTAGTAGCTCACAAGAAAATACAGTTTTCAAATGGTTTAAAATATACATTGACATTGTTTGCAAAATATTCCAGAGAATACTGAACAGTTAGATCACATATGATTTTTCTTTAATGGGAATATTTTCTGTAAGACTTGGTTCTAATTGCAATTACTAAAAGACACACAAGAAGATATGTAGAAGTCTGTTTTTTCTGAAGTTCTATGTTAAAGGTACTTGAGTTTTCATTGCTTTAAGTATAGAACTCGCAGACACTAAGCTGGAAATGTTTCTAGATACCTACCTGGCAAACGCTGTTCAGTTAACTCACCATACATGATCAGAGGAAATTCAACAGAGATTTGCAAACTTATTTTCTATTGTGCTTTTAATACATTTTAGTCATTTCAGTATATGTATAATTTATCTTAAAACTTTTGAAACATTAGCAGTTGGAAATAATTTTCAACTCTCTACATCATCTCAATGAAGTAACTTTTGTGTGTGTGTGCATATGAATCCCAAAATGTAGGACTGAACATACACCAGAAGAATCCCATGATGTAGTAATTATTAATGCTTTCTTGGCAATGCATTATGCTTATTTTTAATTTGTGTTAGTTCTTCTCTAATGTTCTTTCCAGCTGTTGGCTGTCTCTTGAAGGAGGGCTACTTTATGCTTTCGTCGGACCTGCAGCTGCTGTTGTTTTGGTAAACATTAATATAATTTCCAGTATTTTCATATGAAATGATGGAATGTGCTATTTAAATAAAGAAAAGTTTAGCTATACAGTAGCATTACTTTTTGCTGTAAATACTAAGATCAGCACTGTTAAACATACCTTCAATATTTTAAATGCATGATTCTTTTAATTGTATCACTTCTTTATACCAGTTATCTATCTCTCCATGTTTACACAGTAAGCTGTGAAAGAATAACGTACTGATTAGTGGCACAGAAAACATCAGTGAGTTATTATCAGTAGCATCTATGCAATTGTCACTGCCTTGTGAAGTTCAGTGACGGTCTTGATAGAGTGCTGCTTGGCAGTGTATCACTGTGCCAGCAAAAGCAACAGAAGGAGTGGAACCAGCCAGCAAGCTCTCCATGGCTACTGCTTTTGAAGGAAAAGAAAACATCGTCATAGCTGGGAAATGTTATTCATTTGTGTATTAATCTTCCACATCTCTAGAAATGCATTTAGGTGTAGGATTCACTTTGCCTAATTGTAGACATCTGCAATGTAGATTTCTGCATGTAAACTAGTTATACCAGCCATATTTCATTGTCAGTAGAGAAAAATATGCACTTCTAGTGCTCGAACCATCAGAAGTATTTCGGATACCTACTTCAGGGTAAGATGAATTGCACTCTACATGTGCCATCAGCTATCAGTCATCTGCTCTGCAGTCTTCATATGGATTTTTTACAATAATCTGTTTAGCATATTTCTCTTACAGATTTTGAATCTAATTCTTTTCACTCCACCACTTCTATACTAGGATAGCTCTATCAATACCACTTAGTGCTGATTTTCCCTTACAAAAGGGAATAGGTCTTAGTAGTCATCAAAGATATAGCCATTTAGCTATATAAATTTTCCTGAAATGGATGTTTACTACTCCCGTAGAGTTTGTCTTATCTTTGCCTGGTGTCAAGCCAGGATCCTTTTGTACAACTCACAGTCCCTGTCATGATAGAGGAGCCAAGGATGATTACAAAAAAGCCAGTCATCATTTTCACATGGAACTGTATGTTCTCTGTGTAATTGGCAAGCTTTGTTCAGAGACGTTTGAAGTTCACAGTTGCAGTTTGCCCTACCATTAGCTGGTAGCTGTGGAAGGAGCTGTTCCATGCAGCCACTTAAGCCTAAGTGTACAACACAAAAGAGTTATATAACATCAGCTGAAAAATGTAAATGCTGAAAATAAAGTGACGATGAGAAAAGCTGGAAAAGAGTTGGCAGGACAGACTGGCAACAATTAGGTATTTTGGCACAGGCCTTGAAAAATCTGTTTGAAAGGAAAACAAGATTACTCTGCTAATAAAAAAAAAAAAAGGAATATTTATTTAGGTTCAAAACCTGGTATTACCTCTTTGCAGGGACATGCAGAGACAGGTTTGTAAAGTTCAGTTCAATAATACAAATGGATAATAATGGTCATTAAGTTGTCCATTAAATGCCATTACTATGTCCAGTAAGTGCCAAAGTCTGACTGCTGGAACACTTGCTTTTTTTTTTTACTTTAGGTCTTCAACCCATGTGCGTGATCATAACACCATTTACTTTAATGGAGCTAAACAGACTTAGCCCAGCATTCATCTGGCCCACAAAAAAAAAAAAAAAAGAAAAGAAAGGAAACTACAGTCAAACAAGGCACAGAACCTGCATTTTGGTCAATAACATAGACAGTGACTAATGGAAGGAAGATATGGAAAACCACAGGCTGGTTTTGCATAACTGGGAACGCCTACATGGGCCATAAATGCTTAAAAAGGAACACAGTTACAGTCATCATGTGCTCTGACCAGCTCTTTCCTGTGTGCACAACTCAAATGCACTAGTTTTCCTGGAACAGGATATATGGTTGCAATTAAAACTGAGGCAATATTAAAGATACATTACTTAAGCATCTGGATAGGAGACATATACATATATAACTTCATACCAGTCATAACTCAAGATTAAAAAATAAACCTGTTGCAGTATGCATATATGTTACTCATTTGAGCATATGGCCTTTTGGTGTGCTCAGGGATGGTGTTACACAATTTCTGAAGGAATACTTGGAAATGTAGCAGGAGGCATTTTGCAGGCCTGTAAGTGCCAGTTTCTGAAGGATCAGGATAAAACATTTTCTTTCAGGCCTTGAAAAATCAACTGTTTGTTTTCTGTTTGACAGGTCAACATGGTGATTGGCATTTTGGTATTTAATAAACTTGTTTCCAGAGATGGAATCCTAGATAAAAAGCTCAAACACAGAGCGGGGTAAGCAAAAACCAGGTTATTTTAAGGCATATTAAAATTGTATCACTGATTTCAGTTATGGATATTCACCAAAAATGCTTTTGATTTTGCTTTGAACTTTTATATCAGTGTAACAGTGTGTCTAACAGATTCCATTCATCGCAAAAGCTGCTGTTGCATTATCCTGAGAGAATGCAACTAAACACACTAAAGATAATAAAACACAAGTACAACAGTATTAAGTTAACAAGAATGAGGATTTAACAAGTCTGAGTGGAGGTTTCAAAAGGCTGTCATACATGTAAAGCTGCAGCGAGGAAAAGAGTTGTATGAACTGTGTGTACTGGAGGAACTGATTATTTTGTCTAGCTGTCAAATGTAATTACTGTGGTGGGAAATGTTACTTATTTGTGTAAGCTGTTACAAAATGTGTTTTACAGCAGTATATTCCTTACTGAGGTCAATGTGATTCTGCCATTCTGATTATGCAAAGAATTTGCCGTTGTTCTTACATTCATATCTACATAGATGTATCTTCTAAATTAGTGTAATAGAATTTCAAAGTAGAAAACCCCCATGTTTTAAAAGCTAAAAAGAAAAAGGGTAAATGGAAATTCTGTGTTATTGGTTATTTACTTGCATTAACAACTTAAACTGCTTTTCAGTGGATTACAATGATATGAAGAACTGCAGCAGCAAACCTAGATTCGTTCCATATCACAGAGAAATATTTCACATGTGTATCATCACCTTCTTAATGCATATGAGAATATATTTAAACTTTGAGTAATTTTTTTGCAGTTACATGTTCTAGTATTGTCTTTTGGGCCAGCTTGTAGTAACTATCACCAGTATCTGCATTTTTAATTATGATAAGCAATAGTATCTTCATTTTATTGTGTATTACTGCTATGGGTAAATTTATTGCAGCTTCACTTTGAATTATTTTACCATTTCCTACCATTTCCCTAATAGAAGCATTCCTAATAAGTTCAATTTATTGATTAGATGAGCAAATTTATGATCAATACTTCAGCTGGTGTGATTTGCATTTAATATTAATTCAGTTAAATCTTTCTGGTTTTCAGCTCTTTCACCATCATTTTGACAAATATGTACCAAAACCTTTCATTTTATTTCTTCTCTTTTCCTTCTTTTTCATTAAAAAGCATTAATTTCTTAACTTTGTCTACATTGCTCCACCAACACTCTTAACTGTGTTGTAAAACTGATGAAGTCTAGAATATTGTTAACCTACTCAAATTATTTCTAGAACAGTAATAACTTAGCAATCACAACTTCAAATTCACATTTGGTCTAATTCAAGTGATCTTAAGAGTTGGAGCAGCCACAGATTTGGCTTTGTACGTTTTCTAGGGATATCCAAGCTTAGATATAAATCTTTTGGTTTTTTTCTCAGCTACTCAATTGTAGGGTATAGAAATCTATTTGCTTATATTGTACTTTCCTGATGAAACAAATAACTTGCTTTCTAACTGTGCAACTTAGCAAAGAGGTATTTTATTTTAAAATAAATGGACAAAGAACTATAAATTATTCTGCTAGAAGCAATCCAGCTATTCTGGGGAAGCATGTTGATAACCTAATGAGAAACAATCTTAACTTTTGTGATAGTATAAGATGGTGGCTTGGCAACAGCATTCCTTGATACTACTTGGCATATGATGGGTACTGAGTCATTCTTTGGGGCATAAAAATTGGTGCAGCGTTTGACCTCCTGTAGAAAAGAGATTGTCACTCATTTCTCAAGTATCTCTTGCCAGCCATGCTCAGGAAGGCGATTTCATTCTTTCTGGAAAACATTGGACTTAACACCTGTCAAAAGCTCAGTCAAAAGTTCAGCTGTAGGAGCCATTTATGTGGGATTTAAAGCAGTGAATGGGGCAAAATATACTAACTCCATATGACTCTTACCACCTTAAATAAGCATATGGAGAATCAACAAGTGAAAAAAGAAAATGTTGTCTTGATGGATCTCAATCATTTTCCTGACATAAGAGGTAGCATACATATATGCCCAGACAGAAAGATTATTTTTGTTTATATATACATCAAGTTCTATTCCTATTTGCAAGATACAAAACAGATCTATAAAAGTAAGAATAGTCTATTCTAATAATGTTGAAGTATTGCCAAGCAAAGATGGAAAATGTTTTCTCAAGCTCAGCTAAGCTCACCCAAGGCATTTTTCTAGTTCATTCATTAATGTATATCTTTAACTGGTGTAAAGTGTTGTGGATTCACAGAGTTCGTTTTCCACCCCACAATCACCTTATACAAGGTCATGCTTCTCACTGTTTTATCATGGACAAAAAAAAAAAAAAGCTTTTTAATAGAAAATATACTGCACTTCTTTTGTGGAAAGCCATCATTTGGTTTATCAAAATGGAAACTTCTGGAGTTCAATGTTGTTCTGAGCAGTATGTTAAAAATCTTGTGAATGCTGGGTTTGGCAATAAAAAGGAGTTCCGCTGGTTGAAATAACTGGGAAAAAGCTGAAGTGTTGCCTACCTACACCATGTTGACCACTTTCCAGCTGGGAATAGGTAAAGCACCCTTCCTTGTCACATCTTGGCTGTGGTTATTCCTTGTTCTGACAGCAGAAAGAGAAAGAGAAGGAAGAGCAAAAGTCCTTATTTAGTCAACTCAGGAAGTTGAATGCATGCTGTATATAAAAGAAAATTTAAATTTCAGATTTTGCCCCTTAACCCTTCTGACAGGTGCCAAGGTACAATTGTCCATACAAAATGCTTTGAGCTTAATGCTTGTGTACTGTGTTTTATTAAAATGCAAAACAGGTCACCCTTTTTTTAGTAGCAACTGATATTTATTTCATCAGATTCCATACATTTCAAGCCCTGTATTCAGACCTTCATATGGAATGAATAAAATCATTCCAGATGTTAGTGGGCCATTCAGATCGCTAGTACTAACCTGACTATACAGTATGCCCACACTGATTTGCTGCTTTAATAAATTTT